GTAATTAAAATAGCATGCTTGAAGTTGAAAAAAAGTGCAAACACCACATAAGTAATCATTGAATAAATGCTTCTTATCATAAACATTAAATTAGTTGCAAATAGAAAGATAACAGCACCTTGCATAAACTTGAAAAATTGAAGTTCATTGCATGAAAAGAAATTGTTGAACTAAATACATGAATTAATTTACCTACTAGAATGATGAAAAACAATCCAAATCTACTGGTATTTGTGCTGAAATCCGAAATCTGAAAGCATTTTGCAGAGAAAATAAAAGTCTAAAAATTTACAAATGTTTGAGTAGAGCTAACCGTGTGTTTTCCCTTCCAAAATTTCCTTTTTGTTCTTCTTTGGCCAACAGTGACCTCCCACTTTCTATAGTTACAAAGTTGTAGGTGGTTTCTTGAGGTAGTGGAATAGCTCACCTATTGACTTGGTCTGATCTCCTTCCAGATTTTCGCCACCTGTGCCATAATCAGATAAAACCCCTCTTTAACTGCAATTTTTTCCTATATTTTAGCTCAAACAGTCCCTTTTTACCTCAAAGAGATAATTACACAATAAAATCTTATTCTTATCTCCCTTTTTTTGCTAAAATGACAACTGCTCTATCATAAGGCCCAGAATCACGAATCTAACATGACTTAATCTTCTCCATTCATTTAAAAAATTTTGACACGTGACATAATCTTAAATTTTTACAATTTATGGTGTAAACATATAGTACCTCTCTTTGTGGACCACTTGCCCCGTTGCGGAAGGGATTGTGCTATTATGCATTCTTCGGTGTGTCTGTACCCTTTAACCATCATCCTTAGTAAAACAAAAATTAGGTGCTTCTGAACTCTAATGTTCTCATTTTTCTTAAACAAAAATAAGTGATATCTTCGGTGATATACATATTATTTGGACCCTTAAACTATAATCATTAAAAAACAAAAATTAGGTATGCGTGAACCCTTAAAATTTTTATTTTTAAAAATAAAAATTAAGGATTTTTTAAATTAAAAAATATACACATAACATGAATTTTTAATTAATTAATTTTTTTATGGTGTGACGTGAATCTTAAAATATCATTTTCAGAAAACAAAGTTAGGTACATCTTACCCTTAAGCTCTCGGTTTTGAAAGCGAAAAATGAGTGATTTTCGCAGATAGAGTACGGGGCTGATTTGTCATTTCACTCAGACACAAAATTACTGATTTTTCTATAGAAAGTACCTACTTGTCTGTGGAAGCCGAAGCTCTCGTCTTTAGAAAGAGCAGTGCCAGGGAAAGTGGCCCACTAGCACTCGCCCGCACACTCTCTCCCTTAAGGATAACACGTGGTAGTAGAATAATAATGCTGAATGAGAAATGCTAGTTGCACTCGCCTTTCTCCAGCACTCCCCAACACTCTCTCATGTAAAATGTCCACGTAACAAATTTTGGCTCGCAATTCAAAGTTTCCAACTAAAAAAGTTCACGTGGCTATTTTAGATGAAGGAGTGTTGGAGAGTGCTAGAGAAAGGCGAGTGCAGCTAGCATTCCTCATGCTGAATTATT